CCCAAAACCCCAAAACCCCAAAACCCCAAAACCCCAATTTGCTAAAATTAATAATAAGCTCGTAAGAATCAAAACAAAATGGAAAGCACCTCTAGTCGAAACTCTTTATCCCCAACTAGTAAGGTACAGCATAAATCCTGTAGAAGATAATCTGAACAGAAGGGGAAATCCCAACCCAAGGATGAATAGCCCAGTCGCTAAGGTATGTATAATACTTGTCTCATGAAAAATTACTGTTCGAGTGGTATAAGCTTAAGAAGTCGATGAAAATTCAGCTAAATTTTAAAGAGAATTTCGAGGATTTAACACCAAGAACCGAGTTTAGCAGCTCTATAGATGTCATTATCCTCATTCCTTGAAGTTCAAGACCTTCTCTATATTTTTGGGTATGTTTTGAAATACCTCATCATAATTTTAAAATTACAAAGTCAACAGAAAGTCTTTACAGAGACCCTGTTTGAAATTCATTTCCAAAGTAGACTGGTTATATAAGGCTGAACTCTAGGCTGTTTTGTGTAAAATTCATCAAATTGGGAGAATTATGAAATTCTATGTGCCTGAAATATAAATTTGTAATGTCAAATTTTCAGTGAAATAGTTTCAGACAAATAGCTAGCACTTACAAGAGTATGAGAGGTCGCATGTATAATAGTCAAAGTGTAGTAGGAATAATAGTTATATAAAAATACCTGGAGAGCCTACAATTTGTCTTCTTATAATAATATATAATGGTGAAAGCATTGGGCAGTTTGAGCTCCAGTCAGCGATGAGTCATGATTTGCCAATAAAGAGCATTTTCTATATGTTATTTCGCGGTTGGAATAATTTTAGCATGTGTAATTCGTAAAAATTTGGCGATTTTAATATTTTTTAGGCGGAAATGCAAACCCAATCATTAAGAAGACAGGTGACTAAATAAGCATTCAGGATCAAGAGTAAATCCAATTTATTCATCATAGGGTCGGAGAGTCCATCATAAGCTAGTCACAGGTGGACAAGATAGCCTGAGAAAAGTATTCTCTGAAGAAAGAAGTATTAATACCGTAAGATTTTCATACGTTTATTCTTGAACTTACCTGCCTTTAGGCTAATATGAAGTATCCCGCATCCAAACGTCTTGGACTCTTTAATACTGGAGATCTCCTTCAAGGAAATAAAGAATCTGAGAAAATTTCAGATGTCCTCAGAAGAAATGGTGGTAACTCAATAATTATTCCTGACCTCTGTCATGAAATCTCCTTTGATACCCCTGATCCTCATCCAAAGAATCCTTGGAAAATGTTTGGAGAGTTAATTTTCAAAAAGAACCTTAATATGAGCTATCTGGTGAACATTCGGAACTGTAAATAAAAAGATTCTAGAATCATTGAAGAAGCTAAATACTCTTAAAGGCACCATACTCAAGAATTTTGAGGTTTACCAAAATTATATATTCAAAATGTTTATTAAAGGAAAGAAGTATCAGGAAGATAAGCACATGCTTGCCTTCTTGGCACTTAGCAATGACAAGCTTTATTTCAAGTTCCTGAGACAAGCTATTATCAAAAAGGATGACTTCGAAAGTCTTATGGGTGATAATCTCCAGACAATTGAGAAACACTCAATGTTCTTCAACCAAGAAAGATACATCATGCATGAAAGTACTCCTCACTCATAACGGTCTAGGGTCTTTAATAAATTGAATGAAGAAGATGGAGAATGATGAATCTTTTCGTGAGAAGTTGATCAATGTCCAAACAAGAGCCTTATTTCTGCCAGACTTATCGTCGTTCCATTCCGAATGAAGTAAGGAAATCACATATTTGATTCGACTAATGTTGTTGTGTTATATCCTTCTCTGTAACCCATACTGTACCAATTTGATGCTTAACCAGTTCTTTTTAGGTAAAAACAACTTAGAAAACTCCTCAAACATCTCTAATTCGGAGCTGCTAGAGGCAGAAGAAGGGTCTCAAGAGATGATCAATGTAAAGAGTAAGTACTTAAGCTGTATTCTTTTGGGATTTTATGCAAATCTAATCTGAAATAGGCCCTCAGAAGTTAAAGCAACTGAAGAAGATTTTGCCTAAAGAGATGCACAAACGCCTTTCAGTAGTCGCAGGCAGTATTGGGAATAAATATCATCAAAAGAAGTCCATGTCAGTCCTTGTTGATATGCATAATGCCAAGAGGGTAAGAGCTCTTTTACTTATGCACTATTCTGAACCAATTTTCTACCTGAGCATCTCTAAAAGACTACTATAAGTTATAAAAATATCTGAAGCGATCTCCAGCTAGTAAAATCCAGATAATACATACAGGAATTAACTTAGAAAACCTAATTTAGCTTTAAAATATTTGATAAATATCCAGTGCTCATACTGAATTTAGAAGCATTCAAAATTTGGTCCCGTAAATAAGCGAGGAGCTTTAGTCAAGCTCAAAACTTCTGTAGCTGTGCACTCTCCAGAAGAATCTGGGGAGACTATGGTCAGAATCTCTGAAGATGATTGAATTGAAGAAGATGAGTTCTCTGACACATCAGGTTTGTTCCTCTGCTCTGACAATTTAGGCAGTCAATCAAAAATTAACAAGAAAGATTTAGCTGATGACAAACAGCAAAATATTGATAAGAAAATTGTGATGCGAAAGATTCTAAAGCACAAAGCAAAGTTGAATAATATCCTAGTTAAAAGGATACATAATCTGAAAGCAAAGATGCCATGATTAAGTCCTTTAAAAAGAGTTAAAATGAGGGATGCCTCTACTACCATACCCTCAAGGATGCCTTCTCACTCAAAGAGTGTGAATCGGACTACAAATAAGGTAAAGTTCCTGAATAATATTGGTATTTAACTATTAAATAGGCTAGAAATAGAGTATTATTCGCTCCACAGAAAGACAAATTTTCTCTAACAAGAATTCAGAATACCTCAGTGCAGTCGCCTGTGGTTACTCGAAAGGCGAAGAGTCCTATGATTTCTTTACCACAGGCATTTAGTCATAGCATAATAACCCAATCACCGATTAACCCTGGAGTAAATACACCTGCGGGTAATAAAAAGATCAGAAGAAAATATGCCAAAATCGACATGCTAAAGGCAAAATGTTCCAAATTTGCTAGCTATAAAGTCAAGTTCAGACTTGCAGATCTTTAGCAATAATTAACTATTTTGAAACATGTTAATAATTCAGTTTTATTTCAATAGGAATTTGGAGAATAGGGGTTTTGGGGTTTTGGGGTTTTGGGG